GGGACCCGGTTTTAAGAGGTTATATTTTCCCCTGCCTCATTTATAAGGGGGTGCATGTCATTGAAAAAAAAAACTTCTCTAAGCATAACAATTTGCAATTCAGTTTGCATGAGCATGCTCAAACAGACAAGAACTACAAATGTTTCATAGCAGTGAGAATAACAATGGTGGCAATGAAGTTCTGTTGCCCTTTTATACACAATTTTCTTACTATATGCCCCAAAGAGGTATCAATATCTATGCATAGTATGACATGAAACTATTTTCAGGGGCTATCTATTTTAGTGCATCATTTATGGGTGTGTGTGTCATTAAAAAAAACTTCTCTAAACATAACATTTTGTGATTCGGTTTGCATGAGCATGCTCAAATAGACAAGAACTACAGATATTTCATAGCAGTGAGAATAACAACGGTGGTAATGAAGCTCTGTTGCCATTTCATACACAATTTTCTTATATGCCCCAAAGGGGTATCAAAAGCTATGCATAGCATGACAGGAACCTGTTTTCAGAGGCTATATATTTCACTGCCTCATTTATAAGGGTGTGCATGTCATTGAAAAAAAAAACTTCTCTAAGCATAACAATTTGTAATTCAGTTTGCATGAGCATGCTCAAACAGACAACTACAAATGTTTCATAGCAGTGAGAGTAAGAATGGTGGCAATGAAGTTCTGTTGCCCTTTTATACACAATTTTCTTACTATATGCCCCAAAGAGGTATCAATAGCTATGCATAGTATGACATGAAACTATTTTCAGAGGCTAGCTATTTCACTGCTTCATTTATCGGTGTGTGTGTGTTATTGAGAGATATGCTTCAGCAGAAGTTTTGAAAAAAAGAGTTGTTTGCATCAGCATTCTCAAAGAGACCATGAAATACAGATGTTTTATGGCTGTGAGAATAAAAATGATGGCAATGAAGGTCTGTTGCCCCTTCTTACATTATTTTCCTACCATATGCCCTAACGCATCAGTGCTACGTATCACAGTAAGATTTCTTAGCCGATCTACTTCAGTGACACATTTCTCGGGCTAAGCATTATATTTGTATTTTGGTTTGCATGAACATTCTCAAACAGAGATAAACAGAATCACTATACGAAACCCCCATCCAAATCGACCAACACAAGCAAGCATCAAACCAAATAAACACACCAAAATTTTTTGGGGCTAAACGAATGATTTATCAAAGAAAGTGTAGGTTGAGAATAGTTATACTGGAAGGAGATGATGTCTGAAATGATGGTTAGGGCATAGGAAGGTTGCACTCGGCGGGGTAGGTAAACAAGGCGGGAGCAATAAGGAAGGGAGAAATAATGAAGGTGGGGTCGAAATGAGGAGTACGGGAGTAAAAAGATAGGACTGGTAAAACGGGCCAAGGGGTCTCACCTACGGTCCATGTTTCGCTTAGATTCGCAGCCACCGCGATCGAAATGCAGCTCCAAACGATCCTTTTCCGCGGCCTCCGGCGGCACCGTGCAGAGAAAGTCGCGCCATCCATGTGCTTTTCCAC